AAAGGATAGGGCTCAGTTGCCGTGGAGACCGCAACTCTGAAAGGAGGTCCCATAAAAATGACTTTGGATTCTGCGCAGGAAATGAAATTAGTTAAGATCAAGGACCAGAGCTGTGTCAAGTAACACTATTCTGAGACGGGAAGGATGATAAAAGACCCAAGGACGCACAGATCATCTCCACTTGAGTGTGGCAACAGGATATGATTTACAAAGGAAAATTAATTCATCACGATCGTTAGGAGAACTGAGCTGCAGCTCATATGAAAATTAGCCTAACCGTGAATCAACTGAGTCACAACACGTGTGTGTGACTCCTCAGGCACAAAGAATGCAATTGCTTAAGACTTTGAGTGATAAGACCCTCTAGCAGAAAACGGGCTTTCCTACCAAATACTCAAGTACCGGGGAAGTACAGAAGCGTCCTTCCGCAATTATGGTTATCATATTACACCCTGTGCTCAGGTACTCTGATATTTCAGGACGTTCTCTTTCTCCAGCCCCTCTCTGGGCTTGTCTCATTCATTCCTGTTACCCTCTCAAGTCTCACCCGGTGCTCTCCTATGAGGCCAATATTCTACCCGCGTGTCTCAAACGTTTATCCAATAAGCGTGTGCAAATTTTGTCATTGTTTTCCATCCCAAATATGTCCTCCACGACAGTTATTCGAGCATGAGAAAGGATAATTTCCCTTTTCTCCTCTGTTTTTGTACTTCCCCTAGGTTACCAAGTCCTGGAACTCCTACCAGCTTTATCAATGTGTTCCCCCCAGCTGTTTCTTATTTTAACGGGGATTGCTTTTGCTCAAGTTCTTAACCGTCCTTTGCCTGGACTGCTGTGGAAGAGCTCCACAGGCTGGCTTCCAGTCTGACTATTCCAACTCTTTTTTATGTTGTTCTTAGTTATAATATATTTACTTAGTTATAATATATTTCCCAACACCCCAACATCAAAACAAACCAACCCAACAAAACCTTGTCACTCCCACCCACACTGTTTTTCAAAGGCTCTTGGATGCCTCTAAGAGAAAGTTCAAATTCTTCAGCAAGTCTTACTGTGACCCTCCTCTCCTTCTGGGTCTTGTGTTCCTTCCATGTGCCCTAGAGTCACACCAGGTCTCTTGCCACTCCCCTAAAACACATCACGCCTTTCATCCCGAGATTTGCAGTGTTTTCCTCTACCTGGAATTCCCTTCATACCTTGCCTGCTGAGAATTCCTAATCTTCAGTGTCCTCATCGGTACAACGGGGTGATAAAAGTGTTTACTTCAGATGGTTGGATGAAGACTAAGGAAAATGATCTGCTCCCCATGGTGCCAGGCATATAGAAGCAACCACCAAACGTGAGCAATCATTGTCACTGCTGTCAATGTCATCATCTTTGGTTTGGTTTTTTTCTTCCACCCAGATCTGAACAAAAACTTCTCCTTTGCTGAAAGTCTTCCCTGACTTCCTGGAAGTGTCAGTCATTCCTCCTCTCTGAGCCTGTATGTCTAATTATAGTACTGCATTACATGCATTTAAAATTGATGGAATTTTTATATTTCATCACCACTCATACTGGGGTACATCTAATAATCTGACATGCCATGATTTAATTGGCAGCAGTTTTTCTTTCTTAGTAGTACTTGGAATAATGGCATTTCTTATAAATGAGTGGCGCCTTAGATGAGATACTGTACTTAAACTGTATGATAACTGTTAAACTTGATTATCTAGGATGGATGCATATTTATAGTAGACGGGAAATCCTACAATTTCTATGAATCAGTGAATCATCTCCATAAAAAAGGGACCACTGCTTGGAACTCCATAGTAGCCAAGGGATATTGCACTGGGATACACTGCAACTTGGCAAGGCCCCACCCCCTGAACCACAGAGGAGCAGCCTGATGGAGTAGCATGCTGTCACCTCCTTCAGTTAAGCACCCACGCCTGAGAGCCAAACAATGACCAGACCCAGAGCAAACGTGGGGAGGGCTAGCTCATGATACTGCCTTCCAATAACCCAGGGTTCAAGTTGCGATGGTAGAGCAGTAACGTGCGGAGAGTGAGGGGATGAGATGGGGGAGGCCAAGGGACAGTACTTCTAGACAGCCCTGTCCAACAGAAACATAATGCAAGCCACAGATATGATATTAATTGTTCTAGTGGCCATGCTTAAAAGTGAAAAGAAACAGGTTAACTAAGGTTAATAACCTATTTTGCTCATTTAACCCAATATATTAAAAATGTTATTTTACCATGTAACCAATATAAAAAAGCAGAAATGAAATATTTTATATTTTCTTGGTTCTGTCTTCAAAATCCGGTGTGTGTTTGTTCTGTGCAGCACACCTCAGTTTGGATTAGCCACATTTCAGCTGCTCAGTGGCTGCGTGTGGCTCATGCCTGCCCTACCGGGTAGCACAATTCTAGACTGTTCTTTGACCAGCTAAGTTCAGTAATGAGTCAGTAGTCATAGGTATTTCAACAGTGGCTCCTTTCACCACACAATACCTGGGAATGTTTCAGACTGACATTTAAAATTTAAAATTCTTTATAGAATGGTAATTGTCCTTCGAATCCTTTTTGTGTCTCCTTTTGGTTAACTTGGTTTTAATCATAATTTGAGATTATTCCTATGTCCTTTCCATCTTCCTTTCACTCTGTTGGGTAAAGGAGAGGTGACTCCTTTATTCAATTGTAGACTTTTCCCCAATAGGACAGTCCTTAGGGGAGGGATGTATACAAGGACCATATACAAGGAGTATATGATTCATCTTAGGAGTCCCAGTGTCTATCACAGTGCCTGATACATAGCAGGCTCTGAAGAAATGTCTTTGAATATACATTAAAAGGTGAACTGAGCTTGAGAATAGTGGTTCTCTACCTGGGCTGCACCCTGGAATCACGAGGGGAATAAGGAAAAATGGTGATGCCTGGACCCACACTCAGAGATGCTGGTGGTAGGTCTGGAATTTGGTGGAGGTGTTGAAATCTTAAAAATCTCCCCCAGGTGACTCTAGTGTGTGGCCAGGGCTGAGAACCACTGATCTAGGGCTTTCTCAGGACAGCTTACTGGGGCCACATCCTTGCCTCTGGGACACGAAGTCCAGTTTGCCTCAACTTCAATTCCCTCTTCTTAGAAGAGATCAACAATTTTTTGGAAACCTTGTTAGAGAAGTTTACACGTAACTCCAAAGAGTGTTCTATAAATTCCTTTTCCAAGGCATGGAAGGGGAATTTCAATGTTCTAAATCTATTCATACTTATCTTTTTTTTCCCACAAAAAGAATAAAGTTCACAATACAGGTGTTTTAAAATGCTGAAAGAGAAAGGATCACAAGGCCATTACAGCATAAGGCAGATAGTACCCAGATATACACATTGCAGAACTTCCTAGATATAGAACAATAGCAATTAAAAATAGAAATGGAATCTAATTACACATGAGCCTAATTTCAAGTTAGTTATACATATCTCAGAAGTATAAATTGGGGGTCAGCAAAAGGAAATACTCCATGCTGTTCTTTAGGCCATCTTGGTTATACTTATAGGACATAATCATAAAGCAATCCATCTAGTTTAATAAGTCATACACAGAGCCCACCTAATTTTAGTCACAGACCTCATAAGTGCTGGTATCACTGTGTGCTCTCTAAATGATACCTTGCCTGATGACGTTACTTCCGTTACTTCTATCGTATCTGAAGTTCAGCCGTGGCCAAGGTTGAACTCTGAGCTCTGCCTCAACACAAATGAGCCCTCATCCAGGACGGGGGAGCAGTGATCTCTGCACCAAGGGACCAGCTGGAGTGAAGTTCCTCTGACACACTGACTGACAATTTCCCCGCCAACTCCCAAGGTGCCTTGGCCATACTTTATGGACTCACCCTGCTTAATGATCTTTGGTTGATGGTGTGGTATCATGTGGCCTTATTAACAAATAGAAACAGCATGTTGATATACCCCCAAAGACTCCTATCTGCATTTCCTCTGACTTACTAGCAAAAACAAAAGAGCCCTCTGACTACCCAACACTTCTTTTCCCCTTTATTGAGATGTAATTGACATATAATATTGTATTAGTTTCAGGTGTACAACATAATGGTTCAATATATGTATATATATTGTGAACTGGCCACCACAATAAGTCTAGTTAACATCCGTCACCATGCACAGTTAAACAAATTTTTTCTCTTGGGATGAGAACTTTTAAGATCTACTCTCTTAGCAACCTTCAACTACACAATACAGTATTGTTAACTAGCGTCACCAGCCTGTATGTAACATCCCCCATGACTTATTTATCTTATACCCAGAAATTGTGACCCACATTTATTTTTGTTTCACATCTTAGACTCAAGTTGAGAAATCAGGAAAGGAAATATCCAAAAGGCATTAAACATTCACGTTCACTACCAGCGATCAACAATAGTTCCCTATTCCTGCCAAAACCATGGAGGAAGGAACGTAACTTGGTAAGATTTTCAAATAAGTACTGGGTCTCCTACATATCACTTCCATCTGCAAACCCCATGGCGCTTATGGGTGCCAAGTGACTGGATGTGTGACATTCACCTGGCCCCAATTTTCCTTTCTGAAAAGGAATGGAAAATGCAACACAAGTTTCCCAGTTGCTACGCTCATAAAGCCAGAAAAGCACCGTCTGCCTGCACAACTGCACATGCCTTGTATGGACATCGCTTGTCAGTTAACATGCACTGAGGATCCCCTTGGGATCCATGAAAAGACAAAGGGAAAGCCTTCCCTCACACAGTTTACAAGAGCAGGAGTAATGTTGAAGGATTTAAAATATGAAAGCAGATTTGAAAGGTGATTTAAAGGCTACAGGACAACTCCATCCACCCTGAGTGCGTATCCACCCTGGGAAGATGGACTGATGGAAGCACCGGAGCTGCCAGTGCTCAGGCAGGATGCACATGGGTGGGTCTCAGAGAAAGACTGGGGAAGGAAGGGTGTTTCAGAGTGTCCCGCACATACAGCTGACACGGCTCCTACCTTTCTGGAAGAACTCTTCAAGTCTGTCCTTGAACGGCTGCAGATACTCCTTCGGCGACTCCTTACACACCACCGCCATCTGTTTCTCACTTGCTGTGAAGAGAAGGTGGCCGTTAGACTTTCTCAAGGACTCGGATTTGCTGAACTTGTGCTCTGTGCTCTGCACTTGGGTATTAACAGTGCAAAATTCTTAACAATCGCCGGTTATCCAAATTACAGGAGAAAAAGCAAAAACAAAGAAAAATAATTAGCTCACTCTACACTTTTTTTTAAGAATAGGGAAATGCATCACCTTGAACTTTTTGGTTTTTTTTTTTTTAAGAGCAGCAAAACCTCTGACTTGGGACAGGTAAGTTACGCTGCTTTAGGTCTCTCAAAAATAAAGAGAGGCAAAAAACTACCTAAGGACTAGTCCTAGGGAATTAAAGGCTCAGACCCTCTTCAGACTCATACTCAAAACGTAGAGATTGAAACAGATTTTGCAGAAATTCCCAGGCCTGGAACCACCAAACTGGTGATTCCTCAACGTGATACCTACATCCCAGCATGAGAACTAACTCCAGGTTAGAGAGGACTGAATCTCTCTGCACTGTTCATCTACCCTTCCCAGTAATATTCCATTAACACATGTGAAATCACTTTATGAGATTAACTTCAGACAGAATATCTAGAATTTACAATCAGTTGCTTTTTTGATAATCAAGACCCCTCAACTTAGTACTGACTTGGTGATATGGAAACCACAGTAATCCACAGTTCACCATCACAAAAGGCAAGACGCATTTCCCCGAGGTTTCTGCATGTCTGTGCCAGAGGCAGCAATGCACTGGGGAAAGAAACGCTTCGTTTCTCCAAAGCTAGAACAGAATCGTGATCACTTCTGCTCGTTGATCATGGCTAGAAGTTACAGACATGTCTTTGTCGAAGAGAATATAGTAAAGCACTGTATTTCACCATACAGAAATCATGCCACCTGCTTCAAAAAAATAAAGGTATATTCCTGAAGGAATTTACATAAGCAAAAGGTAAGGCAGTTTGGAAGAAGACCGTTAGAAAGGATGCCTTATTTGATGTTGGGAAAATCGTATACAAGAACTTTGTGTTATAGTAACTACTATATATAAAATAGATAAACAAGGTCCCACTGTAGAGCACAGGGAACTATATTCAATACCTTGCAATAGTCTATAATGAAAAAGAATATGAAAAGGAATACATGTATACCTGAATCACCAGGCTGTACATCAGAAATTAAAACAACGCTGTAAGTCGACTATACTTCAATTAAAAAAAAAGAAAAGCAAAAAGAACTTGGTGTTTTCAAAACTAGCATTCCTGAATGTTTACTATGTAGGCAATCCACAGGCCCGTCAGCCCTGAAGCACAGAAAATGCCGAAGAGGTCACCTAAGGGTCCCTCGAAATGACAGTTTTTCTTGTGGTATTGCCAGCTGTATTGCTGGAATCCTAGCTAGCTCTGGGAGACAGTCAACTGTGTTGAAGATGAAAGCATGATGTGAGGGAACTCTGGCAAGCTACGTTCTCAGAATGCGCTACCAGGATTCCTGCCTGGGACCATGAGGCAGATCACAGGACACCAGGGTCTAAGAACTTTCATGACAACGCTGTTACTTTCTTAAAATTTTTGATACTCTCTTTTGAATATCTGTGATTAGCTATTCTGATAAGCATTCCAGTGCTTCTAGGAAACCCTGTCCACTGGGATGCAAAGACTTTCTTTCTCCCTTCCCTGCCCTTGCCCTTCCCCTTCCTTCCTTCCTACCTACCTTCCTTCCTTCTTCTTTCTTTCTCTTTCTTTCCCTTCGTTTCCTTCCCTTCCTTTCTTTCTTTCTTTAATGATCTATTTGACTTGGAACAAATTCCTTAAAATCAGCCAAACCTTCATGTCTAAACATTCCTTTTCCCCCCTTACATTTTTATCTTTATTTGTCAGTGTATCTGTCCTCTCTCCAATGACTACTAATAATTGTCTACTATTATCGGATTTCCCTTTACCTCTTTCCTAGGAGATGGGCCACAGGCCAAATGATAAGCACCCACTTTTCACCACTACTCTACTCTCCAAGTGGTGGCTTCAGGCTACAGTGGTATCAGAGAGGTGGGGGGACAGAGCAGACGGAGCTGGAATGTGTCCTGCAGGCAGGATGAACAGGGCTGGGCTGACGACACAGTCCAGGTAAGGTTGAGGGTGAGGGGGCACACGTGTGGCTGGATGTGCCATTTGCCGAGGTGGGGAAGGGTGGAAAGCACTGTTTTATTGCTCTGTTTGAAGGGAGAAGAGGTCAAAAGCTAACTCTGAAACTTGTTCATTGTTCTCCGGTCACTGTAATTATAAGACAAGACCATCCACTGAAAACAATGGGGGAAAGGTACAAAAAAAAGATGAAACTATTAATGGGTTCTCGTTGCTAATTCAACTAAATTTAAACTCCCAGGCCTGAGATATAAGGCCTTTTCCATTATGGTACCATTCTATTATTCAGCTCTATTTCCCACATGTATTTGCCCAATGAAACCAAAATTATGCAGTGTTTCCAAATTAATATCAACAAGTGCTCCCAATTCCATGCCTTCAGTCATGTGGTTCTCTGCCTATTCTGCTCTCATCCCATACCTTCCACTGCATTTGACAAAGTCCTGTTCATCCTGAAAAACCTTCTCTGAGATGCTGCTACCATCATAAAGCCTTTCCAATCCAAAGTTTTTGCATCTTTCAAATATATACCTTCCATAGAGCATTTATGTTTTACTTTTAATTATATTTGTGTATTTATGTTAATCCCTCTGAATCATCATGCAGGTTTCTTTGCTCATCCCCAAGTTTTTCCAGAGAGCACCATGCATGTGGCTAAAGCACCAAATCTCCTCACCCCAGCTAGATTCTTACATGGAGGAAGGCAGAAAAGAATTAGCAATGTTGACCCAGACTCAGAGTGGGCTTTCGAGGGGTGCAATATGACCTCCACGTCTCTCAATTCTTTGCCTTTATTCCCAGGAGAGGTACACCAAGGAGTCCCTGTCTCTCTACTCTGCAAACACTGTGCTGTCCCAAGCCGGTTTGAAAGGGCCCAGTGTATTTTAAAGACCCTCCACATCCCAACCAAAAAAAAAAAAATCCACCACTTCAATCTGTAAGCCATAAGCAAGGGTAGCAAAGATGATTCTCCTGATTGAGTAGTTCTGAGGGCAAGCCTAGAAACAGGAGACGGGTCAGACACCCTTTGGAAGAGGTCTGCTTTCAAGAACTAGCATTTTTCAAAGAACTTTCATGACAACATAAACTTTTCTGATGATTTCCAGCCCAATCTGAAAACACAGGTAGCCACATTTAGTCTCCCAATACAAATTAGGAGAGTCTTTTGAACCCCTTAACTAGCCCTCTACCACATTCCAGTTCCAACAACTCCATTCCACTTATAGAGCACTATGTTTCATGAACACAAATAATAGATGGTGAGGCAGGCCTGCATTTTGGTGAGAACACATAAGGGGACTTCTTCAAAGTCTCTTCTCCCTAGTCAAAGCAAAGCCCAAGGCAGAGCTTCTTTTCCCAATTACATAAGCGAAATCCCCACCTCTGCCTGAGTTACAGGAGTTGATCATTGTGGCTCCCCCTTTGTCCTGGCTGTGCGGACAGAGCCCCTGGGCTCCACCAAACTGCTCGGATTTAAGAGGCCACATAATGCTGTGGTAAAGGGCTCATGGATGGATCGAGACCTACCTGAGCGCAGGTGGGCTGTGGCTTTTCTCATTTGCCAAACCCCTCCATGATCATAGGCATGATATGAGAATTTAGTGAGATAATGCATGTAAAGCAGTCTGCAGAATGCCTGGCATTAGCAAGTGGCCTCATATATATTATTTGTTGCTTTTATGACTTTGTAAAATTGGTTGGGAAACATGTCACAGCCAGCAGAGCAAGAAAGTCATGGCCAGGGATTATGTGCTACAAATTCTACACACTATATTTATGGAAATACGTCCCAGTGCAAATCTCCTGTTTGGAACAAAGAGATAATAATGATTTTTGTTCCCTTGCTGAAGTTCTACCACCCACGGTGAGAATTCACAGAGAAACTCCTGGGGAAAGACGAAGCAAACTGTGAGGCAAGTGCTCTTGGCCTCTGAGCCTCACGGTTTTGAACTAAGAAACACTGGAACCAGTGCAAATCAGGGGGAGAGCAGCTCCCCTGCTGTGCCCTGAGGTCTGCTCCGCACCCCAAAGGGCCCAGTCTCCAACGTGGCCTGTTAGAATTAAACTTCTCCCCACGATCAAAGCAGAGGGCTGCCCTCCGACTGTCTCGGCACAGTTGCACACTTGGTGGCCAGGCAGCTTGCCCACTTCGACTTATTCACTTGGCTTAGCCAGGATGCATTCGAGCAGACAAATGGGAGACCTGAAGACTCATTAACGATGACACTGGAGACCGGCAGTGCATAAAGGAGAGAGGTCACTGACAAATCCCCAGTGTCATGTATTGTCCAACCAGAAGACACATACACGGTGTTGCTAGACCACCAAGGTTGCCCCAGACACAGGCAAAAAAAGCCAAGACGAAGCCAGAGGCACTTCAGACTCTCTCTCGTCTTTTTCTATTATATTTGACACATTAAAATATATACTAATTCCTGAAGTTAGTTACTAGTAAGTGATCATTGTGAGAGATGAAATATTGAAAACCAGTATATAATAAGATGATTGACACTAAATTGAGAGTATTTTCACTTAAAGGTTAAGTGCTTGTGAAGCTTTTAAAATATAAATATAAAATAAAGCACATAAAAGATAGCCAATATTTTATAGTAACTATAAATGGAGTATAAAATTCTATAAAAATTCTGCATCACTATGTTGTACATTTGAAACATGTAATATGGTACATTGTCTATATCTCCATTGAAATTAATAAAATAGGTTAAGTGCTTGTGAAGCATTTTAGAGGAAAGAAAGATACAGCTTTGAATGTTTTAAGATTAGACTCTAAAGGGGGTTGTCTGTTTTTTTGTTGTTGTTGTTTTTTGCTTTTTTGGTTTCTGATCCCTAAGAATAAGGAATAAAGTTTTCTTAATTAT